CATGACTTGTCTTGAGATTAGCAAATTTTTTTTCCTAATTACTCTTATATTAAAATTTTCAGACACCTCATGAGTCTAAGGGTGATTATTTATTATTTTCGGAGTATGGACACGTGGTACTTCATAGAGTTTTGATTGATAGAAAAAAATAAAGACTCACGATTTACATTGGAGATGAAAAAATAATATAAAACTAAGTAATTAATAATTAACTTATAATATAATCAGGTAAGGTTGCAAAATTATTGAATAATTTCCTGAGTGGACATACAAGTCCTTGCGTATTTCGGCAAAACCTAACCGTCTATTTCTATACAATAATGATTGGGATTCTTTTTTTAGAGATTTTTTTTTTTAGAGAATCTCACAACACTCTTTAAATTTCAATAATTAATAGTGTGAGTTCCACACATACATAAATAAGTCCCATGGGTGATTATTCCAGAGTATGGACATCTGGTGCTCTATAAGATTTTGATTGGTAGAGAGACACAATGACTTACGATTTATGTTGGAGATAGAGGGACAACATAAAACTAACTAATTAGCGATTGGTTTGAAGTATGAATGATGCTAGGAGAGTATTGAACAATTTCTCAGGCCGCACATATATATCAATAATTAAAATTTAGAAGGTATTAAGAAATCTCCAAAAAAGCGGTTCCAAAGCATTTTCATTTTCCATTTCTATAAGCCTTCTCTTTGTTTCTCTCTCCTTGTCTTGACTGGACGGTCAAAATTCTCTCTCTTTATACACACTGTTCTTTTTCTCTTCCACCAACCATATTGAAAAAGTTGTCTAATTTTCAAGGTCCTACCCACTTTATAGTACTATTTTTTATTACACAAATCACGCTCCCATCATCTAATTTATCTCTTCTTCTCTTTCCGGAACATGAATGACATTCGTCGACTTCGTAGTCCTCTCCTTTGTGGACTATTTTGTCGGTGCATTTTTCAAATGTAATCTATTTTTGTTTTGTCTTCCACAGGTGCCCTCCCACTGGTAATTCTTCGTAGAGTGTAATTCTTTTCTAATTATATTTTTTTTCTCCTACAGTGTCGATGAGAGATATTGGGTATGTTTGGTTTATGTTTTGAGCTAAATTTTCAAAAAAAAATTGAAAAGAAAGTTTAGAATTTTTTTTGATTTGTTTGGTTATATATTTTGAAAGTAATTTTGGAATTTTGAAATTTTAAATGATTTAATATTTTGTTATAGTTGAATAGATGAGTGAGAGAGAAAAAATAATTGAGAAAGAAAGATGAGAGAGAAAAAATGATTGATTGATGTATAGGAGAGAAAAAATAATTTTAAATTTTTTTTTTTAAACATTTCAATCAAACAAAATTTTAAATTTTTTTTTTCAAAGATTATATTTTAAGAGTTAAACCAACTAAGCATTATTCTGCTCAACTCACATCTCAGATGTACTATACTCAATGCAATAAACGGTCATGGGTTTGAAAAAGGGTTTGGATTAATAATTTGTGGCATTCATTTAGTTCTATTTGTTTGTAACAAAATGGTATGAGACTGGGAATTGTTAATTTTATGGGAGTATGAATTCTAAATGTTATTTCACTTATTAAAATACTGTGTTTTTTTTTTTAATCAATTTTACTGTAATAGAAATAGCTAAATAGTTCAGATTAAAAACAAATTAAAATTTTAAGATTTAAATTGATAAAATTAAAAATTTATTTTATTACAATAGTGAAGCTTTAGAATTTCTTTTTTATTTTATTTTATAATTTCCCGCATTTATTATATCGCCATCTTATTAATTTTATAAGTCCTTAATTTTGTGTTGGTGCAATTCTATACCCCTATCACGCAATGGAATTTGTTGATTTAAAAAAAAATTAGGGTTTTTATGTGTCAATTATTGATGAAAAAAATTAAAATTGATTTGACAATTATTACTAACTAATTAACAAATTTGTCTTTAAAAAAGAAGAAGGAAAAAAAATAACAAATATAATTTTAAAAATTAATTGACTTTTTTTAAGCATGTAACTATTATTATCATATCAATTTCAATTTATTTATTTATTTATTTTTAATAGACAACGATACATTATAATGGACGTGTTATATGAAACAAAAACAAAGAGAGTTCTATGGTAATTTGTCTTGTAATTTTTTTCGGTATTACATGTATCAATTGGTGTACACACTAGTGTACCAAATAGTATTATGATATTATTATTGACCACATTTATTATACAAGTTACAAATATCCAAAATCATACAAATGATGTCACATCATCTGTTAGTACATTAGTGTGTACATTAATTGATTCATATAGCATTATTCAATTTTTTTTTTTTTGGAAACTTCATTAATTAAAGCTGAAAGTACATAGTTCTAGGGTAACTAATCCTCCGTGCATCATCATGCAATTGATTTGCAATACAAATAGGAGTGGACTCAAAATTATGCAAATTATCAGTTACATGAGATGCTTGATTTGCTAAAACATCCACACAGCCATTCGCCTCGCGGTACACATGCTTCATTGTTCAAACCTCCAACTGACTCATCAAGAACTCGTAGTCACAAATTAGATTGCTCTAATGATGCATGCAATTGTTTGTATCCATGATAAGCAGAATAACATGTAGTGCATCAACTTCAACTTCAATGCTACAACATCCTTTATCAAGAGCTAAATTAAGCCCATCTCTTAAAACCTAAAGTTCAACTTCTAAGCTTGAGGCCACGCTTATGTTTTCGCAGAAACCAGTGATCCAATTGCCCCTTTTATCTCTAATTAACCCACTAGCAAAAGCAAGGCTAGGATTGTCCTTGGTTGCTCCATCAATTTTGAGCTTGAAGTTTGAGGTAATGGGGGGTTGCCAAGAAACATGCTGGATGGTTCTTGTTTTGGGGACTCCAATGGAGTTTGTGTAGTGCTACCATTCCTGGGTTACAGGGACGGAACCAGGAATTCATTTGTAGGGGCTAAGACATAATAATTTTTTTTTATATGAATTGACATAAATTATTATTTTTTGAATTCAAAAAATAAACTACAATTTGATATTAAATTAGTACGTAAAAAATAAAACAATCATATATTTACTGATTTTTTTTTTTTTTTAGATAGGTACATTTAGTGAATTTAATATATGAATAAAAGCAAAGTCATGTATTAAATAATTCTTTATACCAATCAACTCAATCATCTATTAAAGTGGAACTCGATGTTTTTTTATATCTTAAAAGTGTTCAATGATTAACTCTGCAATAAAATTTTCAGCAATTTCTTTTTAATGTACCCAAGCAAAAAGTCTTAAAAAAATATATTTAATATATGAATAAGCGAAGTGAATCTTTAATTATAGTTTACTCTTTATTTAATGTTCAGTTTTGTTTTTTTTGGAAAGAAGAGGCGTAGGAAAAGCAGTGGGCATCTAATGAATAGGTGAGGCCCATGCTACTTGACAATGACAAAAGAGGGGCATATTTCTTACACAATTATATATTATTAATATTAGGTTAAAAATAATATAAAATATTAATTTTTATTTATTTTTTATTTTAGCGGGGGGGGCCGTGGCCCCTGTTGATCCACGCATGTCTGTCCCTGCTGGGCTAGAACAGTGACAAGGGAATAGTTGAAAGCGGTGGGATTTTTGAGAGAGAAACAAAGAGAGTTGCGGGCTTTCCACAGAGACCAACAGATGAGAGGGAAAAGAATTAACTAATTGGCCATGGAGGGATGAGTTTCCATTGAGAAGCAATTAACACATATCCATTCATGGAACTCCAAGTTGATGGAGTTAGATAAGGTGGGAGGAATAGCCATGGAATTCCAAATGGATGAAGAAACAGGGCAATCTCTAAGAATATGGCAGGTTGTTTCGAATGCAAGCAGACAGGTGTCACGACTTATCCCCATACTTAAGGGTTAAATATCGTGATGGTCAGTAATTGAAGTTATTTCTGATTAATTCTTAAACAAATAAATAAACACGAACGGAAAAATATTTAAGTGAGGGTACTAAAATAATCATTGGAGCTTTCACTTTATAAAAAAATTTATTGATAAAAAATGTCGATATTTATATATAAAGAATAGAATTATAAATACTATAAAAGTATTGTGTATGTCTATTCCGCAGCCCGCATCTAAGACTCTCCAAAAGTTATTTCTGAATTACATTGTTTCCTAAAAATTGATAAACAACTATAAGTAAATGGCAAAATGAGAATATTAGGCTAAGAGTATAAGGGTCAGAAAATTATCATGGATAAACTTTAGACTTAAAATAGATAAAATAGAATACTTTTCTATTAGAGTAAATAAGTTGCTCATATTATAACAGAAATCCATTTCAGAAATCATATGATATTATACGAAAATTTATAACCATAACCACAGTGTGGAACAGAACAGTGATCAATGGATTCATGACAATACAGAAGTACGGATTCAAGAGGTGGCCCGTACGGATCACTACAACAAATTACACTTTTGGCGACTAAATTTTTAATCCCCAAAAGTCATTTTTAGTCGCCGAAGATTTTTGCCGACTAAATTTTTTGGTCGTCAGCTTTGTCGCAAGATGATTGTCAGGAAAGGTATTGGCGACTAATTTTTTTTTAGTCGCCAAAAGTCACAAATTGGCGACGAAAAATTTAGTCACCCAAAAGAAAATGTTTAGTTGCCAAAAAGAAGATATTTTTCATTTTCAGTTTTTTAGCTACCAGTTTTTTAGTCGTCAAAAGCTTTCATTTTTTTTGACTACTAACTGTTTAGTCGCCAATAAGTTCCTTTTTATTTTTTGATTACTAAATGTTTAGTCGTCAAAAGCTCAAGCTCTATTTATTAATTTTTTTAAAATACACAAATTGAATATTTTTCATTAATTTCTAAATTATATGCATTTCATTATCAATGCAACCTGTAACCTGTATATATACAGAATAATACATTTATCAATTATAATCTAAATTCATTATCAATAATACCTATTTCATTATCAACCATTCAAAAACTTTAACTTGTAACATCATATTCCAAATATCATATAAATCCACACAAATCAAGTATAATCCATCTAAATTAAATATTATATACAAAAAATACTGGATTTCCAAAACAGAAGATTGTTCCAAAATAAATATCTGCTATATACAGAACAAATGATCTTCGAACACATCCACAATAGCTCACGCAAAAGCAATCTGTAAAAAAAATAAAAATAAAATAACCATTAGCACTTTTTCAATAAAATTGACGTTTCAAATTATAACGATTATAAAATTAATAATTTAGATATATTAATGTACTAGAAAATTCTACAAAAAAATGTAAGTGAAGGAAATTTAGAAGTGTACAAATAAACTAGTAGGAGGCAACCATTAGTTCAAATAATTATTATTACTTCTTTTTAATGGTTGAAACTAGGCTTATGGACCACAATAATTATTATTATTTCTTTTTAATGGTTATTCCACTTTCAAATATAAACAAAATGAATTACGGTTCCCCAAAGAACCCAACAGGAGGCAACCATTAGTTCACATCATGCCCATTGTTAAATGGATCTAGTACTTGTATCAAAATTTTGAAGAAGAAGCACTCTTCATAAGGCTGTCCCCAAAAAAAAGCAAAATGAAGATAACAATACTACCCACAAAAGCTTCAATCACTTACAGCTAGCTGCTTCAGCACCATCAATCTGTCTAGCTAGAATATTAATGCTCTCTTGCCACCTTAAGATACAGCCTCTTACCTAACTTCATACTCACTTCCCATCTCACCCCACTCAATAAAAACCCAATTCTGTTACACCACAACGCATACAACTCTTCTTTAATTCACCCATACTGCATATATACTAAGAGTGTCCACAAAAATGTCGAAGCAGCTTCTGTTTCTCTCGTCATTACTACTTCTACTAATCTTCCTCTGCTGCCCCATAGTTTTTGCTCAATCTCTGGCACATGCTTCACTTGCTCAGTCTCCACTGCCAACAGCACAAGCTCCAGTTGCTCAGTCTCCACTGCCAGCAGCAAAAGCTCCAGTTGCTAAGTCTATTATGCCACCTCCAGCACCATCAAGTCCACCTAACATCACTACAATCCTTGAGAAGGCCTGTCACTTCATTACATTGATTAGGCTGCTAAAGAGCACCAGGCTGGATAACGAAATTTACATAAAGCTCAATGACTCAAGTCAAAGCCTAACCATGTTTGCCCCAACTGATAATGCCTTTGGTAGCCTCAAAAAAGGTATTCTCAACTCATATAGTGATCAGCAAAAGTTTCAGCTGATAAAATTCCATCTCATCCCTTATTTCCTTTCACTCCCTGCATTCCAAACTATGAGTAATCCAATGAACACAGAGGCCGGTAGTAATGATCAGTACCCGATAAATATAACCACCATCAGAAATCAGGTGAACATATCAATTGGGATCGTTAACACAACAATATCTGGCACAATTTATTTTGATAACTAGCTAACGACATATCAGGTGGACCAGGTGCTCCTTCCATTACAAATCTCTATCTTTGCGTTGTTCGCACACCAAATAAATAAATAAATGCTGAATTATTACTCAGGAAAGCTGCATACACCATAGAGTCTCTATTACACTATTCCCTACAACACCATCGGGGCAATGTGAATTAAATATCAAATCATATTTTATATCTCCCTGTAGTTGCTAATTCTTTTTTCAATGTAAAACACACTACCATCAATATAAAAGTAAACTTTGATCTCAAGCATTCTTATATATTCATTTATACTCTTCATCATTCAATTGCAAACACAATCTATGTTTCTGTACAAAAAAAATCCCCTTTCATACTCTTCATTGAGACATTTTATCAAACTGGTAGTAGGCAAGAAAATAAATCCCCTTTCCTTGTCTTTGTTTCTGTACAAAAATGATTTCTATGCCTTCTGTAGACGTGCCCAAACATCCCGGCCCCCGCATGCGAAGTGGCGTGAAAATCTGTTTTGTTCATTGGGCTGCTACAGTTCAGACTCAAATGTCACGGTTCTAATCTAATCTCGCAAATTGCAATGCAAGACCGATAAATCACCAAAGAGTCCAAATCCGACAAATCGTTTGGAAAATTGATTTTTATAAAGAAGTGCCAAACATGGACTGCTTTGCCAGATACAGAGTCACCACCTAAATATGTTACCATTATAAATACTCTAAATTAAACTCAAGTTTATGGCAAATTACATATACCCCCTCGAGGTTTGACTAAATTATAAATACCCCTGAGGTTTGAGAAATTACAAATTTTTCCCTGAATGCTATATTTACATAACAAATTAGGGGTGTAATTTATTATAAAATATAAACCTCATGAGACAAATTGTTATAAAAATACAAACCTCAGAAGACGGGATGTAATTTTTAAAATCTCAAGAAGATATTTGTAATTTAGATAAATCTCGAGAGGTATTTGTAATTTGTCCAAGTTTTATTTGTATAAAACAACAACTAAGAGTCAGAGAGAGAATTAGAGGGTCTGGGGGAATCCTGAGACTGCATAGATGATTGCCGTCTATATATATATATACTAGCGGTTGGGCACACACGATGTGTGTGCAAATTAAATAAATAGGAATAAAGAAATAATAATGAAATTAATATTATAATGTGTACTTAGTTTAAGTGGTATGAGTCCTCATACTTA